TCCATCCGCCCGAGCCCGACCTCGCCGCCCAGGGCATTCGTGTGCCCCGAGACCGGGCCCCCGGCGGAGGGATAGTCCAGTCTCCCCGGATAGTGAAATTATAAGAACTGGATGAGCGGGTGGATGGTAACATAATAACAAATAAATTAATTAAAAATAGCACAAACATAACAAATCAGAGTATTGTAATAATAATGACAAGTTGACTAAGATTAACTGCCGCATGACAGATTGACAGATGAAGAGAGTTGGCGTACTTCGTTGGTAATATCTATAGAATGTATGTAGGTTGAGGTTTTTTTTTTTTTTTTTTTTTTTTTTTTTTTTCCCTTGTAATGGTACGCCAACTTACAATGTTTTTAAGCTTTGAATTTTTGGAATAAAAAGAATTGACTTTAACATGAAAGATTGATGTTATATGTGTAATATACAAAATTGTTGTAAGATATGGGCGGAAAATATGACATAGTGTGATCGATTCAACGCTATTACAATGTTTTCTTAATATAATAATTTCTTAGTATAATATAAAATTGAGATCAATCATAAGAATGTATATGAATATAAGTAATTGTATATATAAAAAAAAGAGAAAAAAGAACAATTTTAATGTACTGCATGACATAACATATTAATCATAATGAGTAAACATATGACGCTATAATGGCATAACAATTTAAGATTGGTTGTTAATTATAGGAAAGATAGACATGACAGTTACAAAATGGTATATGAAATTTGTTACTTATAATTTGTATTTCGATGGCTAAATGAGATAAGTTTCAACATGTTTAATAAACTGTTTTTAATAAGGATCAACAATGAATACTATATATAAATAAAAAAAAAAAATAAAAAAAAAGAGAGAAAACAATTGCCATGACTGGCCGTGATACAGTGTAATATTAACAAGAGATAATCTTTAAAGTGTCTGATAGTAGGTTGATTGTATAATATGATACAAGTTTTGCCTAAAGATTATGAATATAAACATAAAATAGTAATAATAATAACAATGGCCGAATATGGGCTCGATAACTGCAATAGTCAGTGATTGCAAAGAAAAGAAACTATGTATAAAAAGAGAAAAAGAAAAGAAAAACTTAACAATTAACAATTGGTTAACAATTTGAAAATAATGATAACAAATATGATATGTATTGAATTAAACGCTAATATTGACATTGTTTATAAGAAAATTAAAAATTTAAAATAATGAATGACTGTTTGACAGTCGTTTGTTTTAAATTATACTAAAGCTAGAGTTAAACTTAAAATTAAACTGATATTAAATTACGCATACACTGAAACTGGTGTATGTTGTAGGAACTAATCTTTGTGTGTATGTTTAAGTCCTCACTTGCTTAAATGAACAAAATGAAGAGTATAATTGTTTGGTCGTAGCAAATCATGATAATAGTAAACAGCTAAATAGAATCAATTTAAAAATTATGACACGCACGACAGTCGCTCATTCGCTGACGCGCGCATATATATGTATATATAGAAAGAGTGATTATATAATACTACAAAGAAAGAAAGCTATTGTTAGCCTACATATGTGATTAAATCGAATGAATCAATATTGCGTATTCGAATGCGAAGCAGACTCAAGCACGATGCACTGTTCGTCGATGGTAATAGTAATTGTTTACAATCAGCTGAGAAGATGGTGAACGAAACGATACTATGCCGTACGATGCGTTCGAGTAGTTGTCGTCATCGTGCACATTTCATGGGCCCGCGAAGCCAGGCTCGAAGCCTTGGACCGTTTACTCAAACAGGTAAGCATTTTAGCAATTTTCTCAAGGAATTACTTGCTTAGAGGTTCATTTTTTTTTTGTATTTTATTTGATATTTCATTATTGGTGTATGGTTATGACGAAATCATAAGTGTTATGTTATGTTTTTAATGAAAATATTTGAAATCAGATTAGATTCAACGGTTTTTTAACGGTGGGCAATCGCTGTACGTATTTCGGCATATTTTTAGTTATTGCCCACCATAATTTTAGTGATTGCCATGGTTAATATCTATAGTTATTGCCCAGGGCAATCATTATCGGCAATTTTTTAATTAAGTAATTAATGTTGTCGTCATATTTATTAGCTTAATGGCTTGCACACGCGCAATAATATTGTCAATATTTTTTTCATTATGTAATATTGTCAATATTTTTGCCACACACACGCAATTATATTGACAAAAAGCAGCATTACAAATGAAGCAAAAAGAAAAAGAAAATCTGTTGAAAGTAAAAGAAAAGAAAAATTTGATCAAAGAAGAGAAAAAGACTGAAAATGCAAACAAAAAGTCTAAAAAAAAGTTAGTGAGACTGTGAAATCTAAGGAAATAGATACGAGTTTAGAGGATAATAGTCAACAACTGATTGAACCTTTTGAGCAACAACTGATTGAACCTTTTAAGCAACAACTGATTGAACCTTTTGAGCAACAACTGATTGAACCTTTTGAGCAACAACTGATTGAACCTTTTGAGCAACAACTGATTGAACCTTTTGAGCAACAACTGATTGAACCTTTTGAGCAACAACTGATTGAACCTTTTGAGCAACAACTCGAACCGACACCAAAGAAGATAGAAAAAGAAATTGGCATAAAAAGTAAAGAAATGTCTGCAAATAAAAAGATAACTATTCTAAGTAATCTTTTAATACAACCTTCTTGTAGTAACATTCTGCCAAAGCCTACTTGTGGAGTTTGTTATTTCAACGTGATAAAAAATGAATCGACATGCAGTGCCTGTTCAAAAATCTTTCATGTGCGTTGCATCCCACCAAAACATAAGGAACATATACCAGACTACTCCGATTTACATTTATTTTTGTGTCATCGTTGTTTTGAAGTAGTTGATTTTAATTGTGACGATTCTGACTCATCAACATCAGCGAAAGAAATGTTTGATACGGTTAATAAAGCCAAACGCAATTTATTTTAATATTTTGTAGTAGATTAATGTTTTATTAAAGTTTAAAGTCTAATTTATCATTTTAAGGTATTGGGCAATTACTGTGCTGTGATGTGGGCAATTAGTGTAAGCAATGGGCAATAACTGTACATTTATAGATAATTTTAAATTTTTTTAATTATTTTCTAAGCCATGTAAGTTTTGGATAAAAACCGTTAACACTTTGATGGAGATTTTATTTAGATATAAGAAAAAAATAATAAATGGTTGAAAGTTATAATACTTTTTTTATTGTTTGAAGCCAAAGTGTTTGAAGTCCTTAAGTGGGCAATAGCTATACGGTTTACCCTATATATAAATTACTAATAATGAGGAAGTATTTCCAAACCAAACCAAAACTGCAAACCATATATATAAATTAATAATCTTGCAAAAATGCAAGATTATTAATTTATATATATAAGAAAATGTTATGTTTTGGTTTGAATAAAGATTATTATTATTATTATTATTATTATAAAAAAAGAAAGCACTAAAAAAGCACGTTCACTAGATGGCGAATCTAGCAAAAGTTGATTTTAGCAGGAAACGAATAGATCAAAGACAGTCATTTCTGTTCCTTTTATTAATATGATAAAAAACTGAAATTTGAAAAGTTCTAAACTTAGACAAATACGAAAAAGTACAAATAGAATATGAGTTGTTTATTGAGTTTTAAAAACTAATTAAAAAAAACACAAAGAGGAAGTATTTAAAAAAAAACATTAGTTCCTGATATCAAACTAGCTGTCGCTACGGTACTTTATCGATTTCTCCATAAAAACCCTTCCGGATTTCTTTAATGTATAAAAGTTAATTAGCTTTCAAAACTCAACATCAATTCATATTCTAATTGTACCTTTTTGTGTTTGTATTGATATCTAAGTTTCGAACTTTGCTCAGTATTTTAATATGTTACTTAAAAGGAACGGAAATAACTATCTTTGGCCCGAAGTTTCCTGCAAAAATCAACTTTTGATAGAGTCGCCATCTAGAGGAGTTGCTTTTTGGTGCTTTCTTTTTATTTTTAAATACTTCCTCATTGTATTAACATTCAAATTCAATTCGAAAATTTAATATTTTGAAGGACTATAACTATAAACAAAAACCAACCCCGATAAATAAAAAATAATTATTTGACAACCTATATTTTCCTCTTGAATAATTTTGTATATTAATGAAACCGTAAATAATATAATAAAAATTAATATTGGATTTTCTTGCACCTTCATAAACAATCGATTTTCCCCCTAAATGTATTACCTTGTTCACATCTCTAAACAAAATGTCAAGACTCAAAATCTCAATGTTGCCAACTTAGCACTTTCGGCACTAGATCTGGCACTATTTTCATAAGGTAAGCACCGAAATTTGACTTTTAGCACCTAATACCAAATCTAGCACTATTTAGTATCTTAGTTTTATTTTCTGTTCACAGTAAGATTTCATAGGTAAGGTAAGGTAAAATGCAACACTCTCTGATTTAAAGATAAACGACATGTCAACGTTAAAAAATAAATTAAATCTGGATTTTCTAATCTTTCATTGTCCGACGTACGATCCTACATGAAAAAATTCCATTCCAAAAAATAACTTTATATATGTTATATTTTATAACAAAAAAAAATGATTCGTAAATTGTGTTTTTTCTTTATTTAATTTTTTTATTAAAGAGAAAAAAAAAATATGTTTAGCACTAATTTTTGGATATTCCTAGCAATCTATTGACCTAAAAGTTCAAAATAACTTAAAAGTACTTTTCAATCTAGCAATCCAGTACTTATTGATCGAGTTGGCAACACTCCTGTCAATTGTCAAATATTATTGAAAAAATATCTTTGTCTATTCTGCCGGTTTACTTAGTGATTGTTTTTTTGTGAGCGTTTCTATTTCGCTTCCAAAAACAGTTCAATAATCATGTAATCAAAAGTATTATTCGCAGAAACCATAGTAAAACAATAACAATTGTAGTAAAGTTAGCTAAAGAAATTTTGATATTTATTGATTTTTGGCTAGTACAACTCTAGACAACATGATTCCAAATGAGATTTTTGCTGAAGATTTAATGAGTACAGTGATCAGATATGGTCTTTACATTGGTGCAGCTTTCCAGTTGGTATGCCTACTTGCCTGTGTTACGCTCACTGACGAACAAAGTGAATTACACCCCTACGAAAAGGTTAGATACATATATGTTAGCAAATAAATAGTAGCACATTTCGTCTTTTGGGATAAATGAAGGAGTTTAGTTATACTGACGTTTTTAGCCACAATATACTTAGTTTTATAATCGCATTGATATTAATTCATGCTCTTTATTTACAGACATATACTGACAGTGATGAATGCAGTTCGGAGCAGTCATCACCAGGGCACCGAGCCGCTATGTCCCGAGCTAGGAGACATGACAAAAAGAAAAGACGTTAGCTAAGATTCAAGATTTGAAAGCAAAAATAAATTTGTTCTGTCATTTCATAAATAATACAAGATGGGACTCAAACCAACAACCTTCTGAATTCTGGGCAACTGCTTTAACCATTGAGTAACTCAGACGAACTGATGAATTTTTCAAGCACTACCTACTAGTGAGCATATTTCCATTAATGATCAGGCAATCCATGCATACCTGTTGACGATCAAATAATATAAGTTTGTTAGTATTTATATATTTTTTTAATTAACTTTAAATATCAATATATTTTATTTTAGAATACAATTAATGAATAATGTTAAAATCATCAAAACACTAAAATTTTGTTTAAAACTGAGAGAGCATAATTCTTTTCTGCTTATAATAAAATTTTAATGACTTACAGCCAGCTGCTAAAATTTTCATTACTTTAATGGGACATTACCCATACAAATTTGACATTCATTAGAGCTTAAAGGTGTCATTAAGCCTTAATATATGTTTATGCAACTGACTGTTAATATCATATGTGTTAGTGACTTAAATATTTCTATGCAAAAACAGTTTTGTAAAACATTTTGATATATGAAAAATATTAAGTTAAGTATAATCATGAATTGATTTGTTCCTTTAACTGTTGTATAAAACGAAATAACAAAAACCCTTTATAGGTATATTCCATACTTTATTCAAAATGTTGAAGTATTATTTGTTTTTAATATGAATTAAATAACTTGAGCTAATTTATCATTATTTCAGTTAGTGTGTAGTTCTGTTTAAGTATAATAAAACATTATTTATAGTAGTGGAATGTAGGTAATTAGTCCGATAAAATAGTGCGCGATTTTTATTCTGTTATAGATAAAAATAAAATGAAATTCATTTGTACAAAGGTTTTTTTATTAACTCATTGCAGCCTGGATGGACTCATTGTGAAATGATTAAATCTGTGTGTACGGTGCCCAGGAGTGATGGGTTAATTCAATAGGCACTTATTTTACATGTTATTTATACCTATTTCTTTAAATTATTAATCAGTAGATTTGATAAAAATAATATAAGAACTGGTTCTGTCCAAAGCTCTTGATTGTATTTTGTAGTTTACAATAAAATCTCGAGCATAGTACTGCTCGATCTCATGGTACTAGTACTCAATCACATGGAATTAATAAAAGTCATAGAATTGTATAAAGCTTTTATTTATCTGTTAAAAGGACTAGAAACCGTAAATTATTTATTATTGCCGGTACGTAGAGTTAAAATATAAAATAATCTCAATAGATATCTCAACATTTGTATAGTTTAAGTCAAAGGTAAGTACATAAGTACACATTAACAATAAAAATAAGGCACTCTTTCTAATAGCACCAAATTCTCTAATTTATAAGTAATAGATTTAATATGGCACATTATTTGTAAAATATTGCATTCAGTTTTTACAATAATATATAATGAAATATAATTATTTCAAGACTTATTAACAAATTTTATCTTATGTATAAAAATAAATTGAATGTTAGACATATTGTAATAAAGTTCAAAATTTTTGGAGTTAAAACAATATTCACGGTTGGTTCCAGCATAAGACATTTATAACACTAAAACTATAACACAAAATTATACATGTATATATCTTTTACAGTTCTTGCTTTGGACAAACTACAAATAGAGAATATGTGTCTAATTAAAAAAGGGGGTAAGTATACTTTATTACGATCATTATTGCTTTAGAATAAAGCCAATATCCAACATCATGTCGTTTCGTTTCGTAAACTATATGGTTATTAAAAAAAGGTTGATTATCTTTTAAAATATGTCAATTAAAAGTTATCAATTTTTTTTTTGTGTTATAATGATAAAAAAATATCAGTTAAAAATATTCTTAAAAAAATGGGCATATTCCCTATTGGACCTTTTTTAATTATTGGACCAATCGTGAATTCTTCAAATAGCACCTAATAAAGCCACTGCATTTCTTATTGCTTACATCCTTCAGTGCACATATTTTTATGTATTGTTTAATTTAGGGACTGTTCCTAAATCTGTAGAATTTTGGCACGTGCCTCAACTTGGCCCCTCCATCTAGATCCGTCGCTGCCCAAACATACCATTAAAATACAGTGATAAGACCTTTAAAATGCAGCAAAATTAATAATACCTATACTGCTTCAGTAAAGTTTCCAAGTGAACATAATGGTTCCGATCCTGCCCCCTTATTGTCTAATTTTAAATCTATTGCAATCGCTTTCAGTTTGAAAGGTGTTGCACAACCATTGCTGCATAATACAAATACTTTTTTTTCAACTGTCTTCAGAAACAAGCAATGGTTGTGCAACACCTTTCAAACTGAAAGCGATTGCAATAGATTTAAAATTAGACAATTAGGGGGCTGGTGTGATCTGAAGACTAGATGCGATGCAAACTTTTTAAATGAAATTATTGAAATGAATGCACATGCACATAAAGTAGATACATAACCTATTAGAACAATAATAAAGATATTTATGTGTACAAAAGATGTTGCAATACAATTCTACAATATTTGCTTCGCTCGCACGAGAAACACTTGTGAGAAACACAAAAGCTTTGAAATTAAAAAAAAAAAACATCGCATCCACGTCTTACCTCACCTATATCAAATTACACAAAATCACTATCAACAAATACAGTGACCTCAAAGTCGTCTATTAACCAAAACGTGATAATTTAAACCACTTTTTCATGATAAATGGGTGCCTTGAAAATTGAACGTGAAAAACTAAATATAAATATATATATATGAAAACAATAAAAACTCGATTTTCCATTTGCGACCTATAACATTACAATGCAAGGAACAATGCTTTTGTACAGTATTAAATGCAGAGAATTTTAAAGCGAACTACAAGCGATTATAAACTCGTTGACATATTGAAATTGTGAGCTCTCAGTGCGTGCACCAAGTCGTTATCGTTTAGAAACTGTTTGAAAGCATCTACTTTTTTAAAACATATTGTGACACAGCAGGATTTGGAGTTTCCACTTCCGCAACACGATTCCGAACTTTTAGATGGACAAATGTCTTTGGTATCGTCAGTTTTACATTGCACAGATCCGTTCGAACAAGAGCACTTCAAAGTGTCGATTATCTCGGTAGTGGGTGATACTTCATCGCATTCGTGAAGTGTGAACACACCCAATTCTTCCAAACTAGAATTAGCATGCCTCTTGTGATAATGAAGAAATGTATTGTGATTCGTGTCAGTTGCTCGACCGCAACCGACAGCACATTTCATTGCAGCATGATCACATTTGCAATCAACACACGAACATTTATCTTCCGAACAACCTTGACCTTTTTTCGGTTCGTTCTCACCGCAATCCCTACATTCACCGTTCGATGGGTCACACTCACATTTTGTACACGAACAAATTCCAGCATCAGCAGCCAATTGCTCAAGAGCATTTCGCTTAGCAATTTCTTTCCCAAATATGTTCTCTGTCCTAACCACATACATATCAGAAGGTGGTTCGTTGTCAAACAACAGAGTATCTTCTAAATCAAGATCTGTGTTGAACAAAACAGAATTTGCTGGGTTTATTTCAATATTTTGTTGCACTTTAGATGGGGGTGGAGTATTAAGTGTTCTATCTTCAACAGTCTCTTTCAGGAAATTGTCAATATCTGTATCCAATTTGTTGGCTTCGAAATTTGTGACTAACTCACTGTCATTGAATACCTTATCGCCGACATCCAGTATACTCGGAGTATCCAATTGTAAAGATTCTTGCGTCATCACATTAGCAGTAGGAGCTGCCTCAGTATTTAAATCAATGTAACTTTGCATATGAGTAGGCACGAAGGTGGCTAGAGTGAAAATACTCTCTGGTGTCTCCTCTTTGATGCTGACCGGAGTTTCTGATATAGAAGCAGCCAGAGCACTAACATCAACCCAAGGAGCTTGAACCTCTATTTCGTTGGCTAAAGCCAGTTGCATAGCTTTAGATTTTCCATCAATTTTAGCATTAGTTTCGATGGTCACTGGTAATGAGGTAGGATTATCAATAGGTGTCGGTAATGATGCAACAACATCTATTGATGAAGGTAAAGTAGTCACAATTGGTTCTAAACCGCAAACATCAATCCAATCATTCTTCTTATCTTTCTCCACCTCAAAAGGTGACACTCTAATATTCGTTAAATCGTATTCGATTGGTTTCGATATGTTAGTAGGGTTATAAAAAAGGAGCTCGCTTATATCTACATTGCTATTATTGCTGAGCGGGTTAGCTCTCGTGATATTCTCTAAGCTCTCGTTTGTTGACCGGCATTCTGTGGTGAATTTGCCAAACGATTCCAGAAGCCTGTCCCAGTTCATAAAATCATTTGTGGGTTTGGCTTGTTCAAGTTCAGTTATATGCGTCTCTGAATCGGCCTAAAAATAAATTAATAAGTTGTGTCATTTAAATATATCAATAATAGTTTCAAAATAGATCATATCATTTAGAATCTTAAATTGATTAATTAAACCTTTAATTTTGGCTGAATACAATATGATCGCCTTTTAAAGAACATAGCTTTTTACAACATACTGCATTAAGTAAACATTCTCCTTCATCCGCTGATATGAACATTAAATTCATGAAATAAGGTTTTACAATAGCACTTTGACGCGCTTATACTCAACGTTAGCATGAATTGACCCTAATACTTTGTTCAAGACCGGATGTGCAGCGAATTAAGACGCAATTAAAAGTTCAATATAAAAAAAATAATAATCTATTTGTAATGTACGAGAAGTTTTGAGACTGTATTTTAATTTTGAAGATAAAATATCTCACCTGATGTCTTTTAGCGTGTGCCCTGAGGCTAGTGATGGTAGAAAACAGTCTACCGCAACCAGGTTCCACGCATGCGTGCGGCCGCGACCCAGAATGGGTTCTATTGTGCGCTTTCAAATGATGGGATGCCGTAAAAGATTTGCCACAACCGTCTGTTTTGCATCTGTAAACATAATTGTGACAATATTGTGTATTGTCTGGTACTTCATAATCATGATGTGGAAAAGACCGACAAGACCACACCAAAGAAATTCAAAAGTCAACCATCGGCAGGCAAAATCATGGGTTCGGTTTTTGGGACAGCCAGGGGTTGATAATGATTGAATACCTTGAACATGGAGCCACTATCACAGGAAAGGTCTACGCAGAACAAATAAAAAAATTACTAATCCTTGAAAACAGACGAGGAAAAGTCACGAAAAGTTTTGTTCCATCAAGACAACGCGCCGGCCCACAAGTCTGCAATTGCCATGGCAGCAATCCAAGATGCTGGCTTTGAGATCATCGATCATCCGCCATATTCACCGGACTTAGTGATTTCTACTTATTTCCGCATTTAAAAGAACACTTGAGAGACATAAAATTTGAAGATGACGAAGAAGTGAAGGCCGCCGTAAACGATTTTTTAAATACCCAAAATGAAGATTTTTTTTTAAAGGAAATTTTGGCTCTAGAAATCTATTTGCTAAATGTATTCACCTAAAGGGTGATTACGTCGAAAAATAAAAAAAAAAATTCTCTAACATAGCCATTCTCACTACTTTTTGAACACCTCTCGTACTCATCAAATTGCTGGTATAGAGTATTCTTGCCAAAAAGTATATACTATATAATAAAGGCGTTGCATTTGGCATTTCAACTTAAAGCCTTTTCATTTCCCTAGTATATACATATACATATTTTCTCTTTAATTTGGCTTCCATAAAAATAATCTATGACTGAATTTGTAAATTCCCACATGTTGAAAAATCTCACGTGAGATTGGGGGATGGGGGAGGGGGTTGAATAAAATATCACGACATCTCACCAGAGGGAGGGAGGGACAGAAAATAAAAAAAAAACATCTCAGATAATTTCTGGACGCCCCCTTATGGTAATGTGACGTTACGATATTCTGTTAATGGCCGCCCGTGTTTCGGCTTTTGAAATCCACATATTATAAATCACAAAATAATTATACAAAAATAAATTACATTTTACTTTTAAACAAAAAATACTACATAGAAAATGTTTACATATAAGTTACTATTTGCAACACATTTCTTATATTTTTTGTTAAATCTCTCAAGTCAAAATCAAAGACTGTTGATTTCTAACTAAAGACATTGTTATTGGGTTAATTAACATCCACTGTTTTTAGATCCTGATAGTGAGTTCTACCACCAGATGGCACTATTTTTTTTCTATCAGAAAGCTAATAATAAAATAAACAAAAACTAACTTGTAAGGTCTCTCTTGCGTATGTGTGCGTATATGCTTTTTCAAATCACTGAGTGTTGTGAAGAATTTAGAACAACCATCAGCTTGACAGTTAAATGTGTCACCGCTATGTAATCTTTGGTGTGCCCTGAGCCTAAAAAGTAACAGTTCATTAGTTCAAAAGATATATTTCAATGAAGGCATGTGAAATGATAATTAATAATAATTAGAACACATCAAAATAATTAACAAGCTCTACTATTCCCACAACTGATAATTAATTTGGGGATTAAAGTAACAAATCTTACAGTTTAGAAACAAATAATAATTCTTTATCTATAACATAAATAAAGTGGTGAATCATTTATTTTTTACATTGGCAACTATCCAATGATGGTAAATTACTGTCTGTACATTTTATTGTGTCCAGCTTTTTCAGAATTAAACAAAGTATTTAAAAGATTTTATACTATACTTATACATAAATTGTTGAGTTCTTATTGGAACTTATTCATAACTTAAGTACAAAAATAAATACAGAACTTATGATTATGTACTTAGGAGTGAGCAAATTGGTAGTAAACAGGAAAATAATCTGCTATTTATGAACCCCTTATTTATTAGACAGTAAAGTGTAGTTGGATTGTGCATAATAGGGTACACAGAATAAAACTTAGAAATTTTGCAATCACAATTCTAACATAACTCTAGAATGTTTATATTTTAAAATAATATATAATTTATATTTTAAATTCCTATTTGGGCTTTTGAACAATAGTCACACTACTATTGTGAAACATGTACATAGATTATGCAAAAAAAAATGTTTCCCAAAGTATTAATTAAACAAAAATAATATAAATTAAACTGACCTGTATAGTGTATTAAATGCTTTCTTGCAGTTCCCTATAGTGCAAGCAAACGGTTTTGTTTTAGTGTGTGCTCGTACATGTATTTTCAAACTATATGAAGTGAGAAAAGCTTTATTGCACATTTGAATAGGACATTTGAACCTGTATTCTCCTGAAATGTATTTATAAACAAATTGAGTGTTGTTATTGAGAAAAAAACTATATTAGCACAACCAAGCAAAACACGGAAGCACCAAATTTGACAATCACATTTGTCATTAAATTTTATTGAATTATAGCACCATTCAAATAAAGAACTTAAATTGTACCTTTGTGTGTTTTCATGTGAGTACGCAAATTGCCAACTGTACTGTATGTACGTTCACAGCCTTCATATTCACATTTATATCTTGCATTATTGTCATCTGATGGTTTTTTACTCTTCTCCATATTCTTTGATAATTCCACATTGTTTTTTGGCATATTTGATGAAGGTTCATTGTGACTGAAAACATTAATTTCATTTATTATAAATGAATCTACAATAATGTTACATGACCATTTAAAAAATGAATTACCATGGAAAGGGCAAACATTATATTTTATTACTGACTTAACCTCTATATTCTGAGATCAAATTACATATAAAATGCTAAAATACAAATTACCTTTAGGTAGTCACTTGGAATAAGATAGGAGAAGAACACAGAATTTAGGATATTCGCATCACATCATGATGGTAATGTACCAAAATAGAATGCCCAAAATGTAACACACGCGAGAAAGAACACAATAAACGAGTCCAAGAGAGCGAGCGAGACGGACAATTATTGACAAACAGCTGATTGAATAATAACTTTTTGACATGTAGAAATTTAGAAAAAACTGCATTGGTGATAATTTATGTGAGAGAGTACGAAATGAACTAATTAGGTATTTAGTTATACACTGAACTTACTAAAACAGTTTCTCATTTCTCTCAGTTAGTGCGTCGTTGGTTACCGTGTTGGTTTCTAAAGTCAAATTTTGCCGGGCCTCTGTTTCCTCAAACGTAACTCGGAGAGAACTCAGTTCTTTTTCCAAATCTTCATAGTTTAAATTGATTTTGTTAATATTAAGTTTTTCGATGAGTGTATCAGTATTAGTTTCCGTTTGATCAGCTGAACAACCACTGTCAAATAGCCATGCGGCCATGATTGTTTTAAAAAGACAAATAGTGTTGTGACTTATGAATACATGACATTCCTCGACATTCCGTCAATTTGGATAAAAAAAAACTTTATGGTTTCTTTTTGCGTTGCCCAAGAAAGTAAATAAATAACTATATTGGCGCTATCTGTTCTATTATCGCAATAATCACCATCTTGTTTTGCTTTTTAATGCAAGTATCTCTTGCTTTTCCCAGAGAAGAAGTAAATGTTTCAAATGGGATCGGGCAGATGGCGCTTTTATGCAAAATGTGTAAATAGACATCACCGGCTATACTGGTACTAAGGAGTGAGGACTCCCGGCGAAACTCCCGTTATAATGAACACCACTTGTTGTCTGCGCGGGCAGTGCGTCGACCGCACGCCCTTCCACTTACGCGAATGTATCGTCTTCACATTCGGACGAAATTTCGCATATAAAACAGTGACACACTATTACATTAATATTATTAGTTCAATTATAACAGTTTCATTTATAAGATGTGTATAAAAAAAATATCAGTTTACATTTACTCGGTAAGTAAATCATAATTTTGTTTTTGAAATTAGTAGTATTAATTAATACTACATAATTATGACTAAGAACTTTATATATTTACCAACAATGACTTTTTTATGAAAATCCATTTGTGTAAAAATTATAAAATTTATATTAATTAATTATTAAGAAATTCGTTATTATCAGTATTTAGGTTAATATACAGGCGCATCTATCTCTCAATATATATTAATGATATTATTATAACATTCTTAATGAAAAATGCTTAAAAATGCACTTTGCCCCTGACACTCTGAGATGGGATTCGAACCCATGACCTATCGCAATCCAGGCGCAACTGCTATAACCACTAAGATACCCAGGACCTAACAGGACTGATGGATCTTTTAAACATTTTTCATTAAAAATATAGCATCGTGAAAACAAAATTGAAAAAATATAATTATAATTTATATAATAACATTTTGTCCATTCACTAGAACAGTATATCATTTTATTTTTTAATTGAATTATGGAAAAATATTTCTCTCTTGTTTATTGATAAATATTAACGTTTTGTTAATATAATTTTCTTGACCAAACTTTCTGTAACAATTACACATATGTAAAGTAATAAAAAATAAATAAAAAAATTATTTAGCTTACATTTTTTGGTTGAGGAATGTAACTTAAAATAACTTTTGAATTACTGTATGGTCTAGTGACTCATTGCTTATGCATTGGGAGCGAACAAACCGTTGAGATAGATAGGTAAAAAAGGCATAAAACAGCGGGTGAAGCTTATCTTCAGTTTACTGTTAACAAAAGAAGCACCCATTAGAACTGTATGACTATGCAGTAAGTTATCGCATTAAGGTTGCTGACCGGTAATATTGTTAATGAAACAAGTAGAATATTGATGTATGAACTAAGGTATATAAATTATCATTATTTAATTAAATTTTTAAGATGTATTAATTATTAAGGATAATGATTACTTTGTATATTATCTGACTATTCCATTTTACATAAATTTAGGTATGTAGATACGTCTTGTAAATAAAAAAAAATAAAGTCGATTCTGTGGCGCTATAATAATAAAAAAAAACAAAACAAAAAGGATTAAAGTTATGATATAAACATTGTTTGCATTAGAAACACGTATTAGATATTGGCCCACTTACATTAGTTAGTAACTGAGTACTTAAAACAAAATTTTGATGTGATGCCAAATACAAAGAGAAACTTGAATAAATAAATCCACAATTCCCTATCATTTACATACTAAAAGAAAGTAACGAAACCTATTTGTCCGTTTGATATGATTATACGACTAAACCATGAAGCTATTGTGATGAAATTTGATATAATAATTCGATACTTGGAGAAGAATATAGGTACTTCATCAAAAATATGAATTGATATTTCCTCAGTCCACAAAAATGATTAGAATATAAAGCTTCCGCAATAACTTCGAATATGTATGCAAAGATGAAGTACGGTTACCTCGAAAATCGAGTTTCAAAATGTCGTCCAAGAACGTGCTTTCCATACAATAGAACGAAGCGACCACTGACCACTTTCGCTGCTTTTTCTTTAGACAATTTTCACTTTTGAATTGACTTCCTCATATTTACCACTGGGACAACACACATTAAACAATGTATCCCTCGGGAACGAGTGTTACATTACTCGAATGCCATTAGCAATTTAATGCTTTAACATTATTCTTTATCCATAACGATGACGCAATTAGTTTGCACAAGTATGTATTAGTTAACATTACATTACATGGTTCTGAGTAATTCAGAGAAACTTAAAATTTCACCAAGCTAATCTAGTAGTCAATATCTATCTCAGATATCAAATGAGTCAGCGGTAATGTATACCAAACCGACGTATGCGTTTACACTTGACACCGGTTTATACAAACAGTTCAATGACATGTTACTTATACATGGATGACCCAGAATTATCTTACACTGGCACTTTCTTCTTGATGGGTCTTTTCGATTCGAGGCACATCGCTTACATGATTCTATTGTTTTCGGTGCAACAAATACCGGACGTAATTATTAAGAATGTGGGTCAATGTTATTACAGTACTTACCACAAAATAGACCCTAGTTCAACCAAACCATATAATAATCAAGGTCATAATATAAATAATGAGTCAAATTATAAATAATGCAAAACAAAGGAACATTTATTACGAACCTTAACTTCTCCAAATTCCCGACAATCTTTCTATCTGTCTCCGGTCGATTTTATTCATGTCCTAAAACTATGATTATGATCTCAATCGTCGCCGAGTCATCGATCTAATCCTATCTTTTTAAAATAAGAACAAGAAAAAGGACAGGTTTTATTTGTTTGTCATAGCTGGGTCCGAGACAGTGGTTGCGGGAACTGTGTCATTCGGCCACGGCATACATACCGTCCCTCGATGGTTCACGAGTTGTCTGATATCGTGATGCAGCCAATCTTCTATACAGTGAAACTTATTGTTTCATAAAATCTATTTACGTGGACAAAAAAAATGTTGCGTTAAGCATAACGGTTATCTAGCTTTGTTCACTCGCAATCTATAATATAAACTCGAACTCGATACTATTTATTCTGTTTAGTCTGTTACAAGCACTTGTGAAGCTCGAAAAAACTATACCCTCGGTTCACAAATCCATGTCGGGAGATCTTGCACTGAGAAAACTGCCAAGACACTTAATAAGGGCTGCATTTTTCTCCCTATTTTATTCCATACAGAGAAGCTGAATTGAGAAAGTACGCCATTAGACTAAAAAGTCACTTTTTCCACTACACTATACGATATTATTTTTTACACTATACGATACAATACCAAAAAGACAAATTTGTTAAAATACAACACGACAGTAATTTCGAAATATAATTTGCATCCAATCAACAATCAAATTGGCTGGATCGACTGAAGTCCAAGCGATTTTTATTTGCTATCGGTACACATAATTAGACACTGTAATATACTTTAATTAAAGATTTGTTTGACTTTATTGTAGATGCGCATACAATCAATAATATTAGAAAATACATAAACAAGGTATTAGTTTAAAAAAAATACTGTAAAATTATAAGAATTATGATAATATTCTTAATGAAAAATGCTTGGAAAATCTACTTTGTCCCTGACACTCTAAGAAAGGACCCATGGCCTTTTGCAATCCAGGCGATTGCTCTAACCACTGGGCTACTTAGGACCTAACAGGACTGACGGATTTTTCAAGCACTTGTTGCTATGAAGCGTATTTTCATCAAAGTTCAGGCAATCCATTCAAAAAGCCGAAAGAAATATTTTTACAAATATTTAAATTTTCTATAAAGATGAAAAGTTGTTCTGCCGTCGTAATACAGAAGGGCACATCTATCATTTTGGTCAAACTGAGAAAATTGGGATTAAAGTATTTACCTTATTCTGCTCCATAGTGTGTAAACCTATTGCTTAAAAAAAATACTGATGATATATGCGGGAAGGTTAATACTATTATATTTTTTAATTTTTATATATAATTAATTACTAAATAAATTCAAAAAAACCCTTTCAACTTAAAAATAAAATATTTATAAGAATACCGCTCACTACAAAGAAAAGGCATAGTTAACCAAACGTGACCTTTCATGTTAATATTTCAGTCATTGAGTCTAAGAAAGGGAATATTTGTCTAGTTGTGCCTTTTTAAAGAAAATTGACTTAATTTTTTCTACAAAAAAAAACAATTCATCATGTAATGAAAGTTTAATAAATTTACTAAAACATATTTATTTCTCGTGCCATTTCTGGTAGCTTATCCAAATAATTAAAACAAAACATAACAAATTTTCTTCTAGGACTCCAACATTAAAACAAAAGAAAAAATAAATAACTCTCTTAATATTCATCAGTTATTTATAAATTATACAATAAATTATTAGGGATAAGCATCCCCCTACAATTTTGGTTTGTTAAAAATAGAACTTATGAATTAGAAACAAAAGTGCAAACTTAAATTCAATTACACTTTTTAGTTGATTTAAATATTATTTTTTCTTTTTACACTTAACTTAAAAATCTATAAAAATAGTTATTATAAATCACTATATGAAAAATAAATCAAAATATTCTTTATTAACAGGAGCATGCATTTTGGCTTTGAACATTTATTAAGCAACTTTATTAGAGCTTATCCTAATTATGTATTGTAAATTTACTTACAGGAAATATCTTAAAGGCACTCGTAGTTTAATATTTTTAAAAATAGTATTAATATTAATTATTATTATAAAAAAGAATTGTAACTAATAGCAAAAATATAACATGGCACTTCGTTGAATTATTACAATTAAATATCTTGGTAATAAATATAAAAAAGTTTACAGAAAGTTAAAATCAGTTTTGCTTAAAATATTAATTTAAAAATAGCTTCTCTTTATATTATGTTGTAGATTTGCTTTTTCAAAGTAGTTTAAGTAAAAATCTGTAGGAAGTAAAATTCAAATCTACGTATTTGTGCCTTTTCAATATAATAGTAAATAAATGTTCCTTATCATTCAACAAAATATTAATATTAGTCTCATTTGTGCCTTTTAAGCCTACCGTAAATACGAATTCCTTGAAGACAAAATGCTAAAAAATGAGAATACGTGCCTTTTTTTGTGTATTAAAAATTGTGCATTGTAAATACAAAATTGATCAAATACAATAAATATGATAATAATGATTTTATTATAAAAAAAATGTTTATCCACTATCTTACAGGTGCTGATGATAGCTATTTGTATAGCTGCAGATTGTGGACCAAGACTGAAATATGCATGGGGTGATGCACTACAGAGCAACGATTGTCCAGGACCCGATGGGACCCCATATCCGAGGTAAGCAAATTACTAGAATTCGATATTTTGACATCACTATTCATGTGAATTTTACTATAATTTTACTACAGAGTATAGTTGAGGATAAAACTTGGATCATTCGGATAAAGTATGGATACATTTTATATATTTAATGCTGATATATCATGAAACTATAGAGATGTTTCCGATATCTATGAATAAAACGGATGACGAAGTGACTGAAAATGATAACATAATATTATTGGTTTCGTAAAATATTATTTAATACTAGGCGAAAACTTAAGATGCTTAAGCGTCAGTCTTATTCAAGTAGACGATAATGACGAATGAAAGTATTAAGAAGGACTGATCTTGATTAATGATTATATTTTTATTTTTTATATTTAGATTTTGCTGGTGTATATTATTACATTAGCCTATGTTAAGAGGCTCCAACGGACAGTTTTTTTGGCAATTAATGGTTGCAAAATGGTGGCCAGCCAGGTCATACAATATTGCAGTAATATTTCGACCATATAGCCAAAGAATGCCGGGTAATAAGTTACCACAGTTCAGTCACTAATTGACGAAAACATTGCCCATTTAGAAGCCCCCTAATAGCAGTTAGCTTCCTGTAGATGATATAATAAAATTGGTTCAGTAGTTTCGGAGTATTTATCATTTTTATCAACTATCATTTTTTCTTTTTATAATATTAGTATAGAAACGTTCATAATTATACCTCGTGTATTAATAAGTTTTCAGACAAACTTTTTACTGAAAAAACAAAATAAATGTTACTGCCTGTTATTTTTTTTTACCGATTTTGTATTTGGAATGTTAACTTTTAGTTTATTTGTATCGCAAATTCATTTCTTTATATTTTTCGGTGATGGAGAGAACGAAACAATTACGTGCAACTTTCATTTCCCTATTTAAGGCGGGAAAAAACCGATGCAGATTTTCCAAGAACTGAAAAGTTTTCCTGTAAGCCGTAACTTCGTCTATTACACAATACAGTGGTACAAAGAGACAAGTTCTCTGCAAGATCCCCAAAGGAGTTGTCGACCACGCTCTATGAGGACGCCTGCGAACATCAAAATTATCCGAGAACAAATTCATTCTGCAGACTAATATTCTAATATTTTGCGCGTTTCAGTGAACTCTAATTCAGTCCATATAAGATGATCTTAAGGAATCCTGAAATATGATCTTAAGGATCGTGTTCGTAAGTTACGACGCGAACATTGTCCATTGCAGCTGAGGAGACATTATGCCAGGAAGATACTCTTCACCAACGGGAAAGATTTTACTATCGTAGAAAAGTTCAACCGACAAAACAATAAAGTGTACGCTAAAAGTAGCAAAGATGTTCCAGCTTCTGCACGGAATGTCTCGCTTACTCATCATCCGGCTAGTGTGATGGTATAGTGGGGAGTTTCGTATGAAGGTGTCACTCCGCTCCATTTCTGACGACAAGGTGTCAAAGTGAAAGCCAAGAATTATCAGATTGACATTTTAGTCTGTGAAACCCCTGTCTTATACGTTATTTCACAATAAGGATTGACTTTTTTAGGCATCGCTTTAGGCAAAAAGCACCCAAGCTTGCTTGAGGGAGAATGTGCCGGCCTTCATGACGGCGGATGAGTGGCCCTCCTCAAGTCTGCTGGATTATTCTTTATGGACTGAATTAGAGCTCAGGGCCTGCCGAAAGGCCCACCAAAACTTGGAGTCACTGAAGCGAACCCTTGTACGAGAGGCAAAGCGAATTCCGCTAGAAGAGAGGGTGTAAAATTACCACAATTAATTGTGTTTATTGAATATGATTATTAGATTAAGTCGTCTATTATGTAATATTTATTTGATGCAAACAAACGAACAATCAAATCTTTCCTCTTTATAATATTAGTATAGATTATACAAATTTAAATTTCTTTTCTATTTCATCTTGACATGATCATATTCGCCTTCGTTTATATCGTACAACAACCTTTGAGCGGCTGCGGCTGACCGGTTAGATCGAGTAATATTTGGTCGTTCGTTCCACGGACGAAGTGAGAATAGGTATTCGTCGGCATTGCCCGCCGCTCGATCGGCCATTTTCGGTTTTGACGTGAGCAGGAATACGATACCAGTTGTAGCACGCTTTCCTGACCGTGTCGCATGTTATCTTATTGATTATCTTTGCATCATTGTATTTAATAATTAAATTAATAGATATTCTGGCACCGTGGTTTGTCTTTCATAATAATAGTCGTGTGTTTCATAATAATTGTAGTGGTGTATTGTTAAGTAAATATGGACAAAAAAGAAAGCGCTGACAATGAAAAGTCAGACTGCAAAGACGACGTAGACAGACATGAATTTTACCGGCGAATCAAAGAAGTTTTTAAGAAAAAGTTTTGTAATACATATCTACTAACGCGACAAAAGTACTTGGAAATAATCGAACAAGTAAAATCTGCTCATTCAAGATTGAAAAAGACCGCGTTGGACTATCGCCGTGTAAAGAGATATGTTGTGGTCGACACACCGTCAGGTGAAAGGTTGTTTCTTGCGCGAAAAGATGGAAAGCAATCCCAGCAAATGTTCGTCACTATGGAAGAAACTTATGATATTATACGCGATTATCATCTTAAATTTAATCATTGCGGGAAAAACCGCTTGATGAAAGCGATGAAGCTGTTATATCGCAATATAACCACAGAAAGCGTAATGGTATATTTACAGCTATGTGGACCATGCAGGAATAAGCTAGTTAAACGCAATAGAGCTCTAAGGCAAAGTTTAGATCAACCTAAACATCAAAGAGATGTTGATGAAATTAACAAAACCGATCCACTTGCAGCTGACACTTTCATCCGAAACGAGACTGAAGTAGACGATACTAAAGAATCTTTCAAACATCCCGAATTATATTCGAGAGCCCAAGTAGATATATTAGATGTTACTACAGAGCCTAACGAAGAATATAAATTCATGTTGGTATATAGAGATTATATGAACAAATATATTCATTTGAAGCCTCTGAAGTCCCTAAGTGTGGACGAGAGTGTTGACGCTATTCTAGAGATATGTCTGGTGTTTGGTGCACCTAATATTTTACAGTCAAAGAACGGACTGGACATAATAACGCCGATTTGTAGGCGATTGAATGCAACATATCCAAACATTAAAGTGGTACCTGGAGCTAATGTTTTTAATGACAAAGATCTAAAAGGGAAAACCAATGGAGATATTTTGAAAGTTCTTAACAGTTGGTTGGCATTAAGTCAAAGCACGAAATGGCAATTGGGTTTGAAGTTCGTTCAGCATTCACTAAATACCAAATTCGACGAGACGATCTGCAGAACCCCGAGTGAAATTGTTTTTGGAACGAATCCCAGAAAGGGCATCGCTTCTTTTCTAACTAAGGAAGAATGCGATTATATTATGTCGGAAGAAGATTTGAAAACCGCATTAGAAAAAAAAGAAAACCCACAAAACCAAACATTAAAACAATTAAAGTTGGAAGAGTCGTTAGTGTTGCAGAGTAATTTCATTAAAATAGAAACAGAACAGCTATCTGAGGACGATGACATAATCGATGATAATATATCTAATTAATTATATTGCATTAATTGTAAATAAATATATCCACTATATGATTTTACTTATTTTACAAATAAAAAAACATTTATGTAATTTCTATCTACCCACCATATATAGTCGATACGTCCACCAGTGCGAAAATCCACAAATAAATAAAAACGCAACTTAAAAGATAGAACACTATCGGTGCGTTGAAATATAGAACACGATCTAACGTACTTTAAGTTTAGTCTGTATTCCAAAGTGGATTTAACTACGTTTTACTGCATTCAGCATTATATGTGGCGGCTTCCCCCTTTCGCAGCCGTGAGAATATTCTCCAGGAACTGTACCTAATAACCATCAATTTTGAGTTATCTGCGGAGCAATTTCCGTTTTCACCTTTGAGATAGCATAATTGTAAGATTATCTTTAATGCGTCTGATGATTCAAGACAAAGCGTAACGGAATTATTTACGATGTATCGAAACGACAAGTCATGATTTTAGACGGCGGCATCGGTTGGAAGATACAGTTTATTACATTTTTTTATTTAGTGCCATCTGTTTGTAACTTCATAAATTAAATAGGTGCATATTTTTATTTTGCTTTGAAACTGGTAAGTGGTAGTGTCTCAAGTATTTCAAAGATGGCGCATTTGGTGAACAAAATAAGAGAAGTTTATATTAGTTTTATATTCACGGACTCACGGACTGTCCGTGAGCCAGTTAAATTTTTATGAACGATTTCCTCCCAGACCTGTAAAACGAATAAGAAAGTTGTATCTAAACTCTTTACTTGTTCACTCTGTCTCTATAGTGATGTCATATGTCAGCAGGCTATGCAAATTTAATAAAATATTCTTGGCTACTCATACGTATCATAGGCGTATATAATTTCATAAGTCAAAAATAGCTGGACCTATTTTAGTGATACCTGTGAGTGATACTGACATTATCTGTAAGCTCTGAGTTGTTTGAAAAGCACGATGCGCTAATTTCGTTCGTTAGGAAAATAGAGTAAATATCCGATTTTGTGCACGTCTCACGGACGTAGATCAGGATTCTAGGGTTAAGATTAATAAAAAATTAAATATTTTATTCAGTCTAGGATAGGCTACAAGCAATTGTGAAAGTCATAACTCTATGCCATATATCCGTAAATCTACGGCGAAAATAGGGCAAAAGGTCTGCCGGGACATCTAGTTAGAATAAAAAATGTTATAATTACTTATTTAGATTATTGTTTATTTCCAGGCACTTAGTTAATAGGGCTTTGAAGACTGGTCCCTGGGGACAAACGAGGCAGGCGCGTGCCATGAACACATTAGACCCCACGCTCATGAGGAGAGCGTTGCTACAAGCTCATGAAGGCTACGCGGAAGGCAGAACGAAACCTGACAATGGCAGCAGAACTGGTATGTGGTATTTAATTTGTGGATAAGTGAGCAAAAATTACTTTGCCCTTCGAAAGGCACGTTAATCCGCTGGTCCCGGCCACATCTGCAATCGTACTGGTGGACGTGGTGGGTCATACATAGCTCATCCTCCCTATTCGATTTGATTCCATCCATAGGGGAAGCCTGAACCCCAGCAATGGGGATATTGGTGGGCTGGTGACAGCTATGATGATGTCGGTTATATTAGTCAGAAACAAAGCTATCACAATTAGAATAATAATTATGTAGTGAACAAGAGTGAGAGTTTTCTTATGGTGTCATGTTGTTGTTTTTTATCTTAGCCACGTAGTCCTACCGACTCGAGCTCGATCTCGGAGGTCGTCAATAAAGAGTTATAACATCTAGAACCCTGTAGGACATTTCTGCTAAGCACCGTAACAATCGCATCTTATTAGAGTCTCAACTACTTGAAATTTGCCATTGTACTATTTATCTGAAGTCTTAAGTCTTCAATAATATCTGAAGTTATTAATAAGTATCAATCACCTTTGATTTGTGAGGAAGACAGCACTAATAATATTGAACTTCAGGTAGATAGTATAGTGGCGAAACGCAAGTAGAGATTCTATTGAGATGGTATTTGGTATGTGAGCGCGTTAAGATTTTAACATGGAATCCGGTACAGCGCCCCTAGCGGAAACTATCAAGAACTACAAATGTCCATACGAATTCTTAACGCGCTCACTAGTGAACGCGTTAGCGTAAAACATACACTTACCACTCTGGTAACCCTACACCGATGTATTGTATAGGTCGCGGTATCAGCGCGCCCGGTGTGCCCCCGCCCTCGAGTACGTGTGGAGGCGCGCGCCTATGCCGCTCCCGGTACAACACCACCGCGCCCATGTACGGCGTGTCGCTCACCTCCGGACAGCCGGTCACCATCGTGCAGAAGTTCCCCGATCTACTACAGCAGGTCGTCTTCGAAGTTTGCGAGTGAGTACTCTTTTACGTCGATGAAATGCATTAGGCACTTCCCTGCCGCCTGACAACAGATAAGGGGTGTGTGGGACTCTCCTTAATGAATCCACCTCGTGGCTAGACCCGCGGAGGTTTCCCAGAGGCCTACCCATATTAATTTCTTATCTCGGGCTCCTCTGTGCTTCGGAAGGCACATTAATCCGTTGCTCCCGCCTGCATTTGTCGTCAAGGCGGTGTTGAACGAAATTATCACTTTTTTAACTAATTTTATTCTAATTTTTGCCAAATAAAAATAATTTTATGAAAATTAAACATATGATCGATTGTTTTATAAAACCAGAAACATAAATTATTGGCGCGATATAAAATAAATGGGTTTCTGGGTTTTGTGAATCGATTTTGCCACGTATATATTACTTTTTAACTATATAAAAAAAAAATATATATACAATAAAAATATTTTTTCAGAAAATAGAACTGACTTCAAACTTCTTCATATTTAAAAAAAGTGATACGATAAGACTTATATTAAAAGCGACTTATTTAAGAAAATGCTATTGAAATAACCTATAGAAGACCTCCGCTCAGCGTCAATAGCATTTTCTTAAAAAAGTTGCTTTTGAGATAAGTATTTTATATCACTTTTATAGTAAAAAAAAGTATTTAGAAAATAAATATTTATGTTTTTAGTGATATTCATATTTATTATGTAATAGGTAACACTCAAAATAATTAATATCTATGTAAACAAAAATATTCAACATAGTGAAAGACTTAGAAATGGAGATTTTGTTTATTTGCTCGACAGAGAAAAAGGAAAGATTTGATTGCATGTTTGTTTGCATTGGATAGGCTCCGAATAAGTCTTTTTAGATTTATAAGTCTTTCATCTACCTACGGGAAGCTCCATAATACGCGGGGAACATAGGTTATAACTAGTAAGCGTAAGCGAAGGTCCGGCGACATAGCTAATTTCATAGAAATTGGTTCCCACTTACATTAAAAATATACGTACTCTTTGAATATAGAAAATCCTCCTTTCAGATTTTGAATGAAGAAGAAGTAAACATACCATCTAAATATTTAGGTGTTATCTGATGAAAAGCGTATTTTGCTTGCTTATAAAAAGGGTAACTATTGATTTGATTTCGATAAAATTTGAATGGAACTTCCTCGGTCCATTATGCTGTCGATAAAAAGAGAATTTTGAAAATATTTTGGATTTTGAAGTTAAAAATAGGTTTGGATATGATCTAAAGTGCTTACACAAAAATTTACTCTCTATGCGTATTTGTATGAGAACGTAAGCGGTGCCTACGCTTAGAGGGCCTTAACAATAACGATCTCTGACCGCTTATCCACTACGCCACCGAATTACTCAGCTCATAAATTCCTGCTGGTTCTAATACCTAGTTTTTATTTCATTTCAGATCCAGTGAATGCTCTTTGGTTCGAGGATCTTGTACACAGACTTATATACCTTATTTATTCCTCGTTCTGCCACTCGGGCCTGTCACTCTAACAGGTCAAGATTACGTACTGGTAGAATCAGGTTGCGTCTGTAGACCGGACCCTATGCCATAAAGAATAAAGTTCACAATCTTTAGACAAAATATTGTGTTAATTAAAAATGAATCCCATTTGAGGATTCTTTTATTGCATTTATATAGATACTATTATTCGTTTTTTTTTAGTAAGAAAATACTTGTTTTCATATTTTAAAAGGATCTTACAATTGAAAATATTTCGGATTTCTAGCTAAGGGCAAAAGGTGAAAGGCTATCTGTGCTTGTAAAAATTAATAAATTGTGGGTAAAATTGTTTGAAACAGTAAAATCGCCGAAAAATTTGCCCAATTGGTAATAATTAAAATTTGCCCAATTGGTACTAATTAAAATTTGCCGAATTGGTAATAATTAAAATTAATTTGTCGGCCATTTTGCGGTTCATTATCTTTATAGACTGAATGAATTTATTATTTTTATTTGTTAATTTATTATAAATATTTATTTATTAATTAATAGTGTTACTGAAACGGATTTATTGTGAATTTATTTATCACTATAGAAATGGAATCTATGAGATATTCTAACGCTCAAATTAATTTATTATAGTATTGTTAATTAGATGGAATTTGTGAGAGTATGAATCTATTTTACTTAATTATTTACAAACAACGAATGTAACTATGAAGATTAATAAAAGTAATTAATCTAAAATATTATTTTTTATTCATTAAACAAAACCACCAGCTCCTTCGGTACCTAGAGGATCACCAGTTGCTTAGTGACCAACAATACGGATTTCGTAGTGGTCGCTCTGCTGGCGATCTTCTAGTTTACTTGACACATAAGTGGCCTAAGGCAATTGAAACAAAGGGGGTAGCCCTAGCAGTAAGTTTGGACATAGCGAAAGCCTTCGATCGGGTGTGGCACAAAGCTCTTCTATCAAAACTTCCCTCGTATGGACTTCCCGAGAAATTATGTGCATGGGTCACTAGTTTTTTGGCACACAGAAGCATTAAGGTTTTAAACGACGGTTAATGCTCGGACCTACTGTCTATAAATGCTGGTGTTCCCCAAGGATGTGTGCTATCACCTACACTTTTTCTTCTGCATATTAATGTCATGCTGCAAAAGCGGTATTCATTGTTATGCAGATGACAGCAAGAAGGACTCCACCTATAACGGTAATGCTAATATTTCTCGGGAAAGCGTCTTTGAGAGCTGGAATCAACTTGTGTCTGATATTGAATCTTCGTTAAAGGAAATCTCTAACTGGGGTCGACTTAATTTGGTCCACTTCAACCCTACTAAGACACATGTTTACGTGTTCACCGCCAAAAAGCCCCTTTTTTCGTATCACTTCGCATTCAAAACAGTCCCCGAACTGCCGCAGCCAATATTGAGATTCTCGGTGTCGACATATCGAGCGAGGTCCAGTTCCGTGGTCACTTAGAGGATAAGGCTAAATTAGCATCTAAGAAGCTTGGTGTGCTTAATAGATCGAGGCAGTATTTTACTCCTGAGCATCGCCTGCAGCTTTACAAGGCTCAGGTTCAGCCCCATATGGAATACTGTTCTCATCTTTGGGCAGGGGCACCCCAATACCAGCTTCTCCCTCTAGACCGCATTCAGCGTAGAGCGACTCGAATCGTCGATAGCCGGGGCACTTCAAGTCGGCTTGATCCACTGGCCCTGCGTAGAGATGTCGCTTCACTGTTCATCTTCTATCGCATTTACTACGGAATGTTCCGAGGAATTGTTCGGACTCATACCTGCCGCTACTTTCCGACATCGTTCCACGCGACAAGAAATCCACGTCCATCATCTGGATGGTTGGAAGTTCTCAACTGTGCGTTTTTCTAGAAGTTTTCTATGTCGCACAGACAAACTCTGGAACAGCTTGTCGCCAGCGGTATTTCCGGACCGATACGACCTTCAAACTTTCAAGCGTAGAGCATATTCGTCCCTCAAAGGCCGGCGGCGCGCTTGTAGCTCCTCTGGTGTTGCAGGTGTCCATGGGCGGAGGTAATCAATCACCATCTGGTGATCCATCTGCTCGTCTGCCCCCTATTATATCCTGTTCTTACGCATGCCATAAGAACAGGATTATGATTATTTTAGTAAATAATGTCGACTCGATAAAAAAGATAGCCGAGATTCCATATAATCTAAGTAAATTTCGGTGAAAAGTATTTTTATTTAAGTCTTTTCCCTAAGAGTAACACTCTATAGTCGAATAGAAGTAATTAGTTAATTACTTGTAATCAATTGGACGAGAATTAATGAAATAAGAAAAAACTAATAGCTAACTAATCTAATATCTAACTATTAACATTTCTTGCTTCATTCAAATTCTTCTTTATTTGGTAAAAATATCTGCTTAAGTAATAATATATTCTTAAATAATTATCAAAGGCGTCTCTAGACTTTGTAGTATGTACTCAGAATTCATTGTCTTTATATTTACCTCCTATCTATAATCGAGTGAAGTATTTACTTGAGAAAATTAAAAGTAATTTCTTCTACTCAGGTAATTACTTTCACTCGACTATATAATTATACGGATACGGGTGTTTTGTAGCCTAGCTAGTACTGGGGCGAATAAACAGCCTGTATAAGAAAAAATAAGCGTTAAATAAAACTAGTTTCGGTTTATTATTATAATGTTTATTCTAATCCTATTTACAACACACAAACACTTAACATTAATTTATTGACTAAAAGGCTCCCATCTCCATATCACTTGAATAGAATCATCGCTCTTTAGGACGTTATTTTGATGCATTAAACAACGTAGTAGATAAAAACAAATACTAACTCAAATTGTGTTACTAAGACTTTATGACAACATGAATTAACAATATTAATCTGTAGCTTATAAACACAGGAACATTAAAGATATGTCTAATTAACAAAGAAGTAATGTCTGTCCCATTTTTTTTTACTTTAAATTTAGTGAGGTTCAAAATATAATCTTTTTACTTAACCCTCTACTGCACACGGACCCAAATGTAGTATTAAAATTTTGTTGTAATTTTATTTACAATTAATCTATAAAAAAGTGATTCAAACTGGTGTGCACGTGGACGAAAAAACAATTAATGAATTTTTTTTTATTATTATTGGGTTGAGTAAATTAGGCTATAGAAGATGATGTATATGCTTTTTCGCCTGAGGTAGGTTTTATAGAAGAATAAAATAAAGAGTTCGTTGGACAGACAAATAATTGAATAGAGTAAAACAAGAACAGGTCATCGGCTTACCTTAAAATATAATGTTCGAACTAGCTTGTGAATTAAAGGCTCAAAATATCTATTAGGGAAATTTTACAGATTTTTGTAAATGACGTGCTGATGATTTTCACATTACGTTTTTTGAAATGGGTACGAACAGACACTGGTGGTAAACGTTTAATAATTTACTGTTCGTAACGGTAATATTGTTGAGGTGCTTGTTGTTGTTGTGGCCGTTGCTGTGGGTGTGGCTGCGCGTGGGCAATGGGCGCCTGCAACAGTTGAGGTTTCGGTGTCGGAATCTTAACAACTATGTCTGTTGGCTGCCGTGAAACCTGCAATGGAAACAATTTGGTAAATTATAATTTCTTTTATAGCAAAATACTTAAAAAAATAACAATGGTAAGTAGTAATCTTGTTGCAGAAACTAAACCATTTTTAGTTTTTATCCTATATAGCTGCGATTTAAATCCTATTATGTAACTAAATTAAGCTTAGGGAGTAACCCTGAAATATCTTCCTACTACAACGGAGTTAGTTTGAATGATATTATTAAAAAAATATCGATCTGGACACGAGATTTTCACCAGTAAAAATATTCATGAAGACGGTTATCATCAGCATAAGCTGAAGTCTTCAATACTGAGGCGCAGACCTCTCCTATCGATTGCAATTTAGCACGCGGGCATAGTGTGACTTGGAGCTTGAAATAATAAATTTATAATCATCCATGTGAGGCTTTCGTAAAAGTTATCGAATCATTGTTTCATTTGATCACGATGAGTTTCTCATCAAACGATGAATATTGACAGTGGACTTGAAGAAGGTATTGGTTTATAATTGAAATTATAGTAAGTATAACGACTATTTATAGGTAATAGTATGCAATTCTTAGATGCCCTTGCGATATTATATAAGAGTTGGACTTTCAAGTGCAACGCTTGATCTTAGTTAAACTAAAAATTTCAATATATCAACCGATCTCAATAATAATGAATATCTGGGTCGGATCATGAATAAACTTAGTGTGAGCAGGATAGTTGTATTTAATATATTTAGGGCAGCTGCATAGAAGGTGGAAATTGCCATAATGATTGTCAAACTGCACTAGCAGATGACAACCACAGAAGAAGAAAAACTGACCTCAGCCTTGAAACCCTCCTTGGGGTCAGCGGTGTAGGTGACAGTCCTGACGAAGCCATCACTGTCCACAACTGAGTAAGAGCCCTTGATGACATCTCCGTCCCTCTGCTCCTTGCGGTTCTGGTAGTTGGTGTATTGGTCATCGTTCACGTCGAAACCGAACTGGTAGGATGGATGAGGCTGAAATAAACGAGGTGAAATTTAAATTATGAAATTCAGTCCTTATTTGGATACATAGTTTTTTACGGATTTTATAATTTTCCGCCTCAGTTGCTGCCTTAGTAGAAATGATATTGAATAATTGGACAATGTCGTTCCCTGTGTCTATTCGATTTTTCATGCAAGGGATTTCAATACAGTTAACATATTTGGCGAACCAGCCCCTTTACTCTTGAACGCAGTCGCGACTTATCTACTCTTGATTGGTTCACTAGCATACTCTGGCGCTAGTGTACCCAATCAAGAGTACGAAATAGTGCAATTGCAATGTCGATCGGTCGGAATTGTGTTCGAGAGTAAGGGAGCAGGTCGGGGCCTTGGGTTAAGCCTGGGTATAAAGATAAAGACAAACGAGATTAAATCAACTAGAGACTTTTCTTTATATTTTAAACGGCATGTTTATATAAAAATATATCAAAATAATCTAAACTACCAGTAAATATGAAAACAGTTTCAGTAAAAGTAGGTGGAATGTCGTCAGTTGCTTTTTAGTGTGCTACGTTTTTTTTATTGCCAATTTTCGGCTCCATTTACTTTCAGAGTAGAAGCACGTAATTCCGTCGGACGTTATAGAGCGTCACTGCTGGTATCGATACGCGGTCGCTGGCAGTGAAAGTTGTGTTGGTACCGACAACGCGATGACGGGTTAACATAATCTTGTCCATCCGTAATATTCTCTCTTCCGTGTTACTGGACTGTTGTAAGTTTAGTATTACAATAAAGGCTGATATTTATTTACATTAAGAGTTTCCTAAGTAGTCAAATAACAGAACTGAAATATTTTGAATAATTATTTATAAGAGATTGTCAATTATATCGGCACAAAAACTTTTGTGAGCGATACGTGAAAAAGTAAAAATAAAGTGTTTCAATTACTTTATTTTTACTTTTAGAGTTTCAAAAATAAATATGTTCGGAATCCTAATAACACATCTGCGGATTTGTATCGATTGTAGTTTTGTACTATTTGCATGCGAAATTTAAAGTATGAAATTCAAAATGCGATTATAAATAAAAGTAAATTTCATTGAATAATATAAAAAAAATATAAGAAAAAGAAGCCGCATTTTATAAAGATTTAATTCACACCGTAAACTTCACGGTAATATCTCTTTATGTTAACCGAAAACGAAGACAAATGTTTACATGGTTAGATTAAATCGATCGCTTAGTTTAGCCTGATATCAACAGACAAATTTACATGCCATTGTAAATTAAAATGAAAAAGGTTGTCTGTGGTAATTAATAACTGTCATCAAACGCTTAATTATTAAATATACAGTGTTGTTTTGTTACCTCAATGACAGGTGGTTTAGGAAGTAGTCCATTAAATTTTGTCGCATCGCAGTCGACATTTTCCGTTTGGACATTTCGTGTAGTCGATGTCAGTAATTAGCGCGTATCATTATTATTCGTTGCCTTACTTAATCGTAGTTTTTTTCTTATGATGAAATGAGGACACGTGAAGAATAATACTACCTACCTACTTAAAAACATAGTCTGGTTTTGTATTTAGAAACATTATTAGCCATAGGTGCTAAAACGATTTCGTAGTTTGACCGTTTACATATTTTGGATCAATTAGCTCTGTGCGAGTGTAATAGCTTCTCTTTCATTCATGCGCAAATGTTTGCGCATGAATGAAAGAGATATGTAATGTCGGGTCATTGTTCGAAATTGTTCGAAATATTAGGTATATAGAGGAGACATTTGAAGCTATAGCACTGATTTTAAAAATTATTTCACCTACAGAAAGCTACGCGGATGACATTATAAGTTACTTACGCGGATTTTACGAGTTTAATATTGAAATTTGATTTTTGGAGTAATATATATTCTATAAAATAGCTTTCCGCCAGCGGCTTCCCCCGCGTGGTCTTATATTATACATAAAAACCTTCCTTTTGAATCACCCCATCTATGAAAAATCAACAGTATTCAAAATCCGTTGCGTTGTTTGAAAGATTTAAACATACATTGGGTTATAGGGACAGAGAAAGCGACTTTGTTATACTATGTAGTGATTAGAAAGGTATTATGAGAAACACGAACAGTATCCAGCCTTGAGATTCTGTAAAAATCGAAACCAAATTTGAATTCACTCAGGTGTCCGAATATAGAACTCAGGTTTGGGTGTTTATCGATTCGCTCTGCAGATCTTGTGTTTTGTTTTAGGGTCTGACTCTCTCCCGAGATCACAAACGTTTATCGATTAATAGTTTCGGTTGCTTACTGGCAAATGCACTACAAATTGAAAGATTAAAGAATTCTGTCAAACAATCAAGTGTTTTGAACCATATTATACAAGTGGTGTACAAGTCGTGTCGGTTTTAACTTGGATTTCTTCAAGATCAAGGAGTTTTTCACTATATGAGTAGGGTTTGTGACTTACATCATAGTCTTCCTGAGGTTCGCGTTGTTCCTGCTGCCTCGTTGGCTGATACTGGGGCCGGTATTGAGGCTGCTGTTGCGGCTGCGGTTGGTACTGTGGCTGTTGATACTGTTGCTCTTGCTGGTATTGTCCTTGACTCTGGGCTGAGTAAGGCTGCAGGTGGAATGAGCATAATTGTGTAAACAATATTTATTGAAATTTATATCAAAAGCTACCAAGATTATGATACAATTTCAGATGTTTCAGATACTTTGCAAGATCCATATGTCGGTGATCATGTAATTGTAAAAAGTATAGATGTGGAACATTTATCGGAGATGTGTAAAAGTTGTGCACGGTTCGAAGATTGTTAAGGAATATTTAGATTACAATTTTATACATAATATATTTAGCTTACCAGTCTAGCTGGTGCTGGTGCAATTGGCCGTGCGATCACTTGTGTCTGTTGTGGTTGAGCTTGCTGCTGTCCGATGTACTGTCTTAATAGATGTGGTGGGATGCCTTCTGCTGCCTGTAAATATTGATTTATTAGTATGATATGATATTATACTAGTACCTTAATCGGGGAATGTATCATCGTAAGTTAACGTTTTAGTTATTGCAATCTGTATTATGTATATTTTCTAATATTTATTATTATTATGTATACTAATATTATAAAGAGGAATGATTTCGTTATTAATTATTTGTAGGCTCCAAAATTACTGGACCGATTTGTGAAATTCTTTCAAGTACGAGAACCTGCATGCGGTTTACGTAGGTGATGTCAGAAAAAAACAATAATAGATATAGAAATTGCATCTATATTTCAGGGAGTTACAACTCTGCCTCCGTTAATTATACGATTATCACAAATTGATAGTTAAAATTTATATTTATTTAATCAACGAGCCCATGATTGTTTTCTCGACCACCAATCCCAAGATTTCTCATCGAAATATGTTTTTTTCCGTTTTCGGAAATCGTTTATGCAAAACGAGATAGTGCGAAGGTCCTCGAGTGGATATTAGAAATGTCAAGGTACCTGTATTGAAAAGCGTGAAGAATTTTCGGAAATGCTAGCTAAAATCGTGACTGTTAGCTGCTAGCATAACTGAGATGTCCTTGCAATTTGGTTGCTCTTGTTGGCTGAATTGTTTACTTAAAATATTTTTTCTCATTGTGATAATAACAAAATATCGATAACCGAATAAACTGTATTATCAAGAAAGTGTTGTAATCAGTATTAAATAAATCAGTAGGTATCGTAATAAAATACGATATGGCCTTGTGTAGCCTTGATCTCTGAAGATTTCAGTGACTAAAAAGTAATTTTGGTAAGAGTTACATTTGATCACATGTCCATTGTGATTATGACTTTGTTAGATCATTACAATATTCGAAAAAAAATTAGAGATAAAGTAAAGATTTAGTAGTTATACGCGTAAAATATGTCCGATTCTTGTGAGGACCTTTGAATTGGCTGTCTGTGTCCGAATTTCACTATCATTTCTGTTTATTAGCTCTAGGTCTTCCTAGGATATAATAAATAAATTATTAGATATTATTTCGATAAACGATGGATATGCTAAGTATAACACTTAAATTCAAGTATACTGGTGTTTTATTAAGTAATAACGCCGACACTGTTTCAATAAGGCTGGATTTAGTGCATGACCGAACGGTGAGCGCGTATGGTGCGCGCTACTGTACTTACGCGCTGACCGTCGGTCGTTCACTATAGATTTTGTGCTCGACTAACGACTGATGTACTCGAACATATACAATTAAAAAGAAAAGTGAATCCATTTGTTAACTCCATAATATGTGCGTACTATTTATGTAACTGACAGACAAACTTCTGACCAAGCCTTAATTTTGGCGTCTCTATCTTTGTACAACTCACTAGAAAGGTCCCACAATGGCAGACGAATATGTACTTCAGTTATACCACGCTCAGTATCGATATTCATTTTGTTTAAGACGTTACACATGCGCATACGCTCGGTCGCTGTGTTGGCGTGACACTGAAGATGATTCCCATTAGCGCGACGTATCTGTATGCGCGTAGGTTACAATCAGTATTGCACTGTAGCGTTGTAGTTTATATGTTTTAAACTACAACGCTACAGTGCAGTTATATGTTTTATTTTTGAATACAATTGTAGTCGACCGATGTCAGATTACTAAATCCAGCCTTATAAACGAAGTTAACCGAAGTCGTTATGTAACCAGATCTACATTCTCAATCAGGCTCCACAGTGGTGCATTTAAGTACTTAGTTAAAAAGTATGCCGGATCACCAGTAATCCGTTTAATGGCCCCGGTCAATTATAACATGACGTAATATGATATAACTGAAGTAACCAGTGCGTGTATTAAGGTCCGTTCACTGTTTCACTCTTTTTTTATTACAAAAGTAACATAATGTCAATAATAATAGTTTCATGTTTGTGTCAAAGTTTTTTCTATATTATAATATTAGAAAATGATAATTATATTCTAAAGTAGCTGTTTTCCTGCGTCTCCGTTCGCGTAAATTAAATCCCATGTTACCCGCGTATGATGCAGCTTCCTGTAGGTGAAGGAATTTTAAATTCAATGCAACCAGCCAAATGAACAATCAAATCTGTCTTCTTTATAATACAAATATAACTAAATATATTAATTAAGACACACTGTTGAGAAATCAAGTTGCGACATATCCACGTGAGAATATTTTCAAAACCTTAGATTGCTATGTGTATGTATTCACTATATAACAGAGTTAATTACCTAAAATATACATTAAAAATACATAAACAAAATGCACAGTAAATAATAACAAGCTTTTATCGGTTACTTACATTGGTAAGTGTTACTATGTCAATTAGGTACAATGCATAACGCGCTACGCGTCAATCAACTACTATGTAAGTGTAAAGTTTACTTTAGTGAGGCTTTTGCAGTTTAATAGAATTTCATTTTTTAGAAAAAAAACATGATTTTGCGATGACTATCATGTTTTTTGTTAATTTGTATCTTGTACGAAGAATAATCAAAAATTGTGGCTTCATTATTTGTATCAATAAACTACTTACTTAGCCGTTTTATATATTACTAGGTTATTTGATGAATTTCATATCTAAGAATACTGTGAAAACAATAATGAGATTTTTTTATTATTACTACTTTCGAATATTCTCTCCACAAAAACCGTTCTTGAACTATAAGCTGACTTGTTCTATCTCGCTTTTCTTCGCTTAGCAACATATTATAAAATTTATTAAAAACATAACTTTTATATAAATAATAATTAAATAAAAAACAACAACTATAAGATATATATTAATTAACTGTTCATCTATCTTCATTTTTACTTTATTTATCTTTTATTTTCAATGGTTGAACTGAAATTTCGATTAGAAATCTGGACATTCGATAGCTGTCGTCTAAAAACTTGAAATCGTAAAGTAAAACGTTTCCAATATAGTTTAAAATCTTCAATTGATAAAACACTTTAGTATAGATTTTCCCATGAACATGCCTAAGTGGCTCGCTAGACCGGTGTAGGCCGATATTTCGAAAGCACCGCCACAATGGTCGTCGCTCGCCCGATTTGGTAAAGATTTTGAAAAGTTACTCGCATGTAACATGTACTCACATCTAGCAGACATTGTGCAAATGTAACCTACTTGCTGACAACTATTGTTGGTATTTGGTCCTTCTATGTTGTATAAACGTATCACGAGATCACTTATACAACCGAAGTTACTTTAAGATCTTGTTAAAAGTAAAATCGTCTATAGATTCATTTAAAACTATGATGAATTAAACTTTAAATTTATAGGATATGTGTCGACAACTGCTTTGCCAGACTCTTTAGATGGCGTTTTTATATAAGTTTTATGATGTCAGTTATTACCAGTGGTCGGAATTAGGTAGAGTTATTCATGTACTTACACTGATTTCATACAGCGAAAGAATAAAGTGAATATGCCTCAAATCCCGAGATTAATTTTTAAAATTAATCTCGGGATTTGAGGCATATTCACTTTATTAGTAGAAAGAGCAGAAAAAATCCCGTGATTTTTTAAATAAAAAGTTATTAACTTTTACACAATTTAAACTACTGCACGCACGACGTTGCCAAACTTACATCAATGAAAGAAAGAAATAAGGAAATCCCGGGAAGGTCCACATTAATATCAACATTTCGATGCAAGTACATAAATAACTCTACCTAATTCCGACCTCTGGTTATTACTTATGTATTGTTTACAACTGACAATGGCTAAGCACAAGCTGTGCATGCAAAATAAATGTATTGTTTATATTTGTTTTCATTGTTGCTCTCTATCTCTACTGTTTTGCATCAAAGTGTATTTAAATTTATCTCTCTTGCTGATTTATCGTTTAAGTTACTTTAGTCCACATTCTCTGCCGGTAATAATAAGGTTGATAATTTAGAATCAAGAAATACAAAATATAGCAATACCTACTTATAGTACGATAAAATTTAAAGTATAATTGCATTGTGTGAATTTGGTAAGTTATAATTTTTTTAATAGAAAATGTCATAACTTAATCCGATTTACAAATATGATGTAATTATATAATTTTTAATTACAATTAACATAGACTCTCAAATATCAATTTCAACGTCTTTTAAATTTATGAAATATATATCAAAGATGATGATTATAGAATAAAAGATATTCGACAACGAATTTAGTGATTAAAATGTTGCTCTATAAAGTAAAAGTAAGTTTTTATTATAGAACTTCTAATCTGTTGAGTAGAATTGTAATTTAAAGGGTAACACTAACATTAAAGTTGGAAATTCCCGGCTAGCGTTTGTAATCTCAAGAATCATATATTTTTCGTAGGAATCTGTTTTGATTCATCGGTGGTAATTGTTTAAATTTATCATTCACTTGTATAAAATATACTTTTACAAAATATTTTGTAGATAAATGTTAGGAAATCTAAAGAAATTAATAAAAAAATATAAAAGCTATATCGCATTCGCGTGCAGAATATAATCCAATCCTAATCAAAGAATATAAGCCATTACTATCCTACTAATCTCTATTAAATTTAATAAACCAATTAAAAGTCAAGAATAAATCTCAATGATAAATAATATGGTCCCATAAATTATATAATAATATTCCATAAATATAGTAGTACCTTAACTAATTTTTATCCGTGATTTATTATCTAGTTAAATATCTTTATTATTATAGTGAAGTTAATCTTTCCAAAACCAAACCAGCTTTTATAGAGCTTAAAAACACACTTCTAATAAAATAAATTGATTGAAGCAATATTTTATAATTTCACTAGCTTTTTTCCTGCGCCTTCGCATGCGTAAATTATAGCCTATGTCAACCCTGTATAATGTAGCTACTCGTAGGTAAAAGAATTTATAAATCAGTACCTAACTACTAAGTTTCAGTCTTTTCAATACAAACGAACAAACAAGGAAATCTTTCCGCTTTGTAATATTAGTATAGCTTTTTTTCTAAACATTTCTCGTTATCAAGTGCAAAGGGAACCTAACAACCAACCTGTTGCTGGTATTGATGCTGTGCTCTCCCGTATACACAACCCAAAACGGCCAACGACACACAAAATCTCAACATTGCACACACTTTTAAAAATGTAATAATAAAAAAAAGTTTGAACACACTCGCGTGTATGTTACGTATGCGGTGCGTTTAAGATACTCTCTCTTTATATAGAGACCACCCCTTCTAGTGTGGGTGGTTGGGAGAGTGGGAACTCCGCGAGGAACATGTACAGGGCCTAATACGAAATTCAAATTGTGTTTCATCTGAAGCTTTGTTGCAACAAAGGATGTGAAACAAAGAGGTCATAATGTCATTTCCTTCCATATGAAACCTTTTTGGTGTTGATAATTTTTCTCGACTTCAAAAAAAAGGTTTTCTATTCCTTACATACATACGCAAACTATTTGGAATTAGAGCTTCTAAACAGGTGTATGTCCTTCGGAAGTGTATGCATATGGGTTTGTCCGCAAATCAGACATCAATCATTCAGACGTGCAGAATTTCACATATTTTTAAAAGCCATAGTAGGTTTAACAGACATCGGAAAAGATTTTAAACTGTGTCCTCAAACTATTATGGTTTAAAATCAAGTGAAGTATATATTTGTATAATCCGACGTGCTGTTGACGTTACATGAAAAAAATTAATGAAATCAAAACAAAATTTAAATGTTCAAAATCAATTGTCTATTATTGGTTTAATGGTTTATTATTTATAAGTCATTATAGAAAATGAGGAATATTTGTAGTGTGCATTCGCTTATTAAACACAAATAGGATGGGTGACCAAAACTTTACTATTGCGAACGCTTAAGTGATTCGGAAAGCACGTTACGCCGTTGGTCTCGAATGCATCTGCTATCGTTAACACCCACCGATCCACACTGGGCCATCGTGGTGGGTCATGGCCAATCTCCCCTATTAGATTTGATTCGATCCCATACGTAGGGAATGCCTTAGCCCTAGAAGTGGGGACATTAATAGACTGGTTGCCGCATAAATGCAGTTACATTGGTCCTGAAATAATGTGTACCCACCCAGCGAGGATTGATAGCAGAACGACAGCAGCTGTAGTGAAAACCAATAGTATAACGTGCGTTCCGAAGTATGCAGTAACTCGAGATGATAAATCTTTGGGCATCTATCCTAAAGTTCTATGCGCAAATGCGTATACTTTTGTTTTTGTTTCACGTTTCGGATTTCATGTTCGTCTAGACCAGCGTTTCCTCGTCGGTTTATTTTCTACCTTTCCATAACACCGCGGTCCACCGTTAGATTTTAAAGAGGGGGAGGGAAGATCTCCTGGAATATCAAGTTGTTATTTTTATGAGTAGCACAGATAGGGTTGCCAGATAGTAACTTATCAAATCCGGGACAATTCTACAAAAAAAAATGTTGGCTCGTGGTTATAATAGAAAA